GATAGAGAAGGAATTGGCTTACCTTTCAGCTGGAAAGTATCATCAAAAAGAGTGTGTGTGTGTGTGTGTGTGTGTGTCTGTGTGTCTGTGTGTCAGGCTGCACAGGCAGCAATTAAAACACTTGAAGAAAATCAGACCTGTCTCAGCTCCATACATAATTTAGTGTGTTGAGCTGGTGGAAGATGATAGTTTAACAACCAGCAGTTTCAGAACTTGTTTACAAAAAGAATCTGAAGTCCGATCAAGCTTTTGACCAGAATAAAATCAACATCACTATACACATTAATTTACAAGTCATCCTCAGCAAGAAAAATGTGTATTTTTCATATGACAGATTTAGCAATAAAAATAATAGTTCAGAATGTTTCAACTACAGTGGGCCCTTGGTATCCACAGGGGACCCTTGTGGATACCAAAATCCATGGATGCTCAAGTCCCATTAAAAACATATATAGTATAGTAAATGGCATCCTTTATATAAAATGGCAAAATCAAGGTTTGCTTTTGGGGTGGGGGGGAAATGGGAATATTTTCAACCCATGGATGCTTGATCCATGCATACAGAATCTGTGGATATGGAGTGCTGACTGAATTAACAAAATAGGAATGCAGAAATACTAACCCCTCCCCTTTACAAATGTTATAAAACCCTTCTTTGATCAATATGCAAACTCTAACAGTGTCTACAATGTAAATGAAGCACATTTACTTTTCCACTTGAAGCAATATAATGAGCTATGAATTTTCAGCAAGTTTATGCTGAACATAGTTATATATTGTACCTGGAGGATATTAAATAAAACAAGTTGAAATATCTGAGCAAAGGGGCATTAAGATTCTTCAAAGTGAGAAAGTTACATGCTTTTTCCTTGTCCAAGGGGGGGGGAGGTGTTCACCCCAATGGCTGCTGATACAATACTATTTTCCAAATACATTGGCTGTCCATCAGTTTATTGAACAGTAATCTTTACTCAGACTGCACTTTTTGTGTGTCACATGTAACTTGTTTATTTTAAAAGCCCCAGGGGAAACTCTCCATACAATCATATCCTTGGTTTTCCAGGACTGAAAACTGCATTAAAAACTTGGAGAATTACAGGAGGCTGTATAGTTTTTAAAAGCCATCTCCTGCATGTAGAGAGCAAACAGAATGACAATGTAAAGGTACAGAGATTATACCTCCAACATTTCAGATGAAAATCAGATGCATGCAACTGAGCAACATCGCAGTATGATCAAAAGGGTGTATAGCCAGGGAAAAAGAAGGCAAAAGTTATTAATGAGGAAGAACACACAAAACTACTGTTTTAAGTAGAAAATGTGTGAAAGTCATGTAGGGAATTTAGGAAGCAACTTCCTCTGCTCCCAATCCAAATGACCATACTGAGAAGAAGTAACCTGAGCAAGAAGGGGCGAAGTGAGAGGAAGAAAAAGAAATTATGACATTTTAAAACCAGCTGAGAAAGTGAAGTACCAGAGGACTAAACAGAGCTGTCCTTATCAAATCAGAGCAGTGCAATAGTATGAGAGCTAACTTCCTCATGTGTTCATTCAATAATTATAAGAATGTCTGAATAAGGTTTTTATTCCAGTGCCTTAGGCTGCATCCACACTGCAGAAGTAATCCAGTTTGACACCACTAACTGTAAAGGTGCAATGCTATGGAAATCTGGGCATTGTAGTTTTGTGAAACATTTAGCCTTCTGTCAGAAATCTCTGGTGCCCCAACAAACTACAGGTGCCAGGACTCCATAGCACTAAGCCATGGCAGTTAAAGTGGTATCAAACTGGATTATTTTTGCAGTGTGGATGCAGTCTTAAAGTCAAAGACAATGATTTTGGGAATTGTATGTTTGCATCCTTTACTTCCCAGTTGTCCATACTACTAATGTTACTATAAATGTGTAGTTAGGAGTGATTTCACTCCTATGGAAGTATGTGCAATTACAAGAAATGAATTTTGAATGAGAAATCAAACTCAACAGAAACAGGGGGCCTTTACAGACTGCCAGAAATAATGCAGCTTGAGGCCAATTTAACTGTCTTGGCTCAGTGGTAGGGAATCATGGAAACTGTATTTTTTTTCCTGGGTCATTGAGCCTTCTCTGTCAGAGAGCTCTGGTGCCACAATAAACTATAGTTCCCATGATTCCTTAGCACTGAGCCAAGACAGTTAGAGTGGTCTCAAGCTGCATTATTTCTGGCAGTCTGTAAAGGCTCTAAGTTTTCATACATCCTTCAACAATTCACAGAGAAGAAACAAGAACATGTGCATACAAGCGACACTGGTTTGTGGTCAGGATCACAAAAGTATTAATAAGGAAAAGGTGCAGCAGTTTGCTTTTGCCTGAGTCTATGGGGAGAGGCATGATTTATCCTTTCCCCACCTATTGAGTTAATTGAATACAAATCACTTTTCACTTTGAAATCAGTCTGCAGCAATTGAAGTATGCTGAGGACAAAGAGTGAACAGGGAGGCAGAAAGAGAAACTGGGACATTTTAAAATCAGCTGAAAAAGTGGGACAACAGAAAGTTAATAGGGACTATCCCTGGGACAGTTGGGTGGTATGCTTTCAGTGGTCGGGAGATCACATTTTGCTGACACTGACGTAAACAGAAGTAATTTAAAACAAAGTGGCAAGTAGGTCAACAGCCTCACACACTTCTGTGTAAAAATGCCACAATGCAAGTATGTAACTGAAGTGGGGGGGGGAACTCACATAAAACATAAACTCCGAGATCTTCTGATGTTCCAAAACAAAACCTTCAGGTAAAAAGGCCATTTGGGAAAGTTTTTTCTTACATATTTGGGCACCTGGAAAATAGGCAGATGATCCTCCCAAAAAGGTGAAAGGGACCTCCTTATAACAAACAGGTGTTTAGATTAGAGCCTAAGTTTGGAATCCTACAGACCAAATCATTACCTGAAATCATGTGTAATTTCTTTTGCAGTATATCATTAAACACAGGGAGACAGCTTATTTACATCTGTTTAATTGTTAGAGCTCTTGACAATTTGGCCTAGCTAATTATTATGCCCAGGCTGCCAGACTAGACCCAGCTTGACTGAAGACAGACGCCCAAATCCTGACTGATCACCAGGAACTGCCTTACCAAGAGAGCTCCAGCCCTTTAAAGACAATGTGCAGCTCAATTGCCTGGCATCAAACCCTGGATATAAATGCTCATACTCATTTTTCCTATTTCTATTTTCAGCAGCCATCCTGACTATCTTCAGTTTTTTTTCTGTGTATATGTGCGTGCACATATGTGTGTGTCTGGTCGAACAATGTCTCATACTCACCACAGCCTAGCATTCTTTTTTTGGGACTTATGACTGCTAACCCGTGAAGCATCTGGATTTCTTATGGATATTTCCATACCTCCACATAGATGTCCCTGTTTATGCGAATGTCCTAACCCATGCAAATAGACCCAGGATAAATTGGGATAAAACACTGCATGCCTTGAATGTGTTCAGAATACATTTACATCACTGACCCCATCTTTATTTATAGTGCTAACACATCTGATCAACAAAACTTGCAGAGATACACATAGATGCAGTTCTAATGAAAAAAAGGGTGAACAACAAAACTGGACTACGTGAGTAAGATTATTTGTATAGTCTGAATAGCTCACAAATCCTGTTGAGCTCAACAAGATTTATTCCCAAGGTAGTGTGTAAATCACTGCTGACAAACTTAGGGCCTTTACAGACTGACCTAAAGGGCCAGCCTGGAGGTGGACTTGGGGCTGGGCAGCTGCACGCCGGCCATCTCAACTCCATCTTAATGCCATCCTGACACCATGTGCCTGTACGTACAGCACGTGGCATCAGGATGCGCAGAAGAGCCACGGCGCCGGCTCTTAGGACAGCCTTTTGAGGCCCCTAAAAGGAGCAGCATTTTGCCACTCTTTTGGGTGCAGCAAAAGGGAGGAGCGGGGCCACAGTGTGGGTTTGCCGTGGCCCTGATCCGCTGCTCCCCGGGGAGGCTCTCTGCCACCCCAAAAGGTGGGTCTCTAAAGGCCCTTAGTCTCCAAAAGATGCCTTTTACTAAGGCATCTGTTGGAGTTCAAGGTTGTCTGAAGCAAAACATACACTACTATGGGAATAAAATCAATATGCATTTTCTTCTACAAGCATTTTACCAGTCCTCCTCCTCCTCCTAGTCTGTTTAAAGAAAGGAAATGAAACAATACCGTACTTCCTTTCAGCCAGAAAGCTATTTTCCATCCATGTAGGAAACTCTAACTCATAATTATCATAAACACAGTGGAACACAGATGTGAAGACCACACCCATATTGCCATCTAGAAACATCAAAGTAAATAATAATTAGAAGTATATTTTTCTCTAGAATTATATATCTTGCTTGTAATGTTACAGGAATTACTTTCATATGATTTGTGGGATCGTGTTTAAAGAGGACCACTAAGACAGCCTAAGCAGAATGCTCTCCAGCTTACTTTAGCCCAACTTTTCCAAACCTGGTGCCTTTCAGATAGTTTGCAAGAAAAAAGGCAGTGATGCATCTCCAAGTGCTCTGTAGATGACCTTATTATTATTATCATTACTTTGAAACAAGCCCAATGTATTTCAACCTATGTAAATATTTTAATGGTCTTCCATAGGGGCCATTTTATAAAAACTCTGAAGAAACATGTCAAGAAAACTGTGATAAGTTCAACTTAGGGTCATCATAAGTGGGAAATGACTTAAAGCCAAACACACCAACACATATAAAAACAAATACAAATATAAATAGTGAATTAAAAATTAAAAGGGCAACATATTAATATCTATATGAAATGTCATAATGCATTAGAACCTTTTTATACTGCTTCAAGCCTATACCAATATGTGAAATCAGCAGCAGAAATTTCTGGAGCTGAAATTCTCATTCCATTTGCTGAATAGACAAAAAGCTAGAGAACCAGGCTTCAGGTTGTTGTTGTTTTATTTATTTTAGAGATGATCAGGAAGAAATGGGAGGGAGCCAGTGTGGCATAGTGGTTTGAGTGTTGGACCACAACTCTGGATACCAGGGTTCAATTCCCCATTTGGCCATCAAACTCACTAGGTGATTTTGGGGAATGCTCCCATACATACAGAGAAAGAAAGAGAGAATTTACAAAAGTAGAAGATCAAGTTCTTCATTTAATCATCCAGGCACCAAAGATTATAATACTGAAATAGGACAAGTGACTCTTTCACATCTCTCCAAGTACAAATTGGCCACCTCTGGGTAGTCCCATGGCTATTCTTCTATTCTGCCAATAAAAGTTGTTTTCAGACTTCATGTAATTTTTTGTCAAGGCTGTTTCAGCCAAAAGAAATGAGGGAAGATGTCTCACTTTTCTCCTGTCCAAGGTGTGCATATTGGTCAAAGTCTCCACTTGGGGCACACTGGTATATAGAGATCTCACATCATTGTGATTAATAAATCTTCCTTATCCTTCTTCAGAAGGGTTATTTTATTAATGAATCTGTAAAGTCCTATAAAGATAATGGAACTTTGGGTACAAAAGGTTTTAGAAAATGATCTATAAATTGAGCCATTGGTTCCAAAGCTGATCTGCAGCATGGAGGAAGAATTGACTTTTAATGCATTTTTGGCAATGCATAGAATAAACAACATTCTGTGCAATCATGCTGGCCACAGGGTCACAGAGTAGTCTCTGACAATGCTGGGTCTTTGACTTAGTAATGGAGAAGAGCACCTCCCCCTATGGTCGGCACACGACTTGACAACCTTGTCAATGGGAAATAAGTTTACCTTTACCTTTACCTTTAAGGTTAGATTTTAACTCTGCCCCCCCAATCTTTTTTTTCTTTTTCTGAAAAATAACCCAAATGGAGACCCTCATCTAGAGTGATTTCAATAATTTTGGAAACAGCCTCTATGGGGTTATCTTTATAAAGGCTGTATACTGATCTGTCTGAAAGCTGCTGAAGTATATTTTTGACTTTATTTCCCATGATCCCTCATTGCTTTGGGCTGATAAAACAAGAGCTACATTCCAAACCATCTGGAGGATATTCGGTTTATGCGTGTGTTTCTGTATGTGCCTTCAGGTTACCCATCAAACTTATGGTGATCCCATGAATTTCAAAAGGGAGATATAGGGTAATATACCCAATACCCTTACACAGAGAAGTGACAAACTGAGTGACAAAAAAGGCAAAGCAAGAAAGTCTGGTATTTGTGAAACCTATTAAACTCATAAGTTTCATGTGTTAACTACAATAATACAATTTAAACTCAGGAATACTTAGAAGTGTTTTTATCAGTTCTTTCCTCAGAAATATAGCCTATAGCACCTAGTACGGTATTCATTGGTGGTCTCTCATCCAAGTACTAACCCATACTATCCCTACTTAGTTTCCAAGATCAGACAGGATCTGGTGCCTTTAAGGTATACCTGGTAATTAAAATATCCAATTACAAAATTAATAAACTGAGCTAACATAATACAGTGGGCCCTTGATATCCACTGGGGGTTGGTTCCAGGAGCCCAATGAATAATAAAATGTATGGATGCTTAAATCCCATTAAATACAGTGGCATAGTAAAATAATGTTCCTTATATAAAATGGCAAAATCAAGGTTTGCTTTTTGGAAGATTGGATTACCAAATGGGCGGGGTACGAATAAATTTTATTATTTTTTATTATTATAATTTTAAATAATATATATATATATATATATATATATATATATATATATATATATATATATATATATATATATATATATATATATATATATATATATATATCTTCAAGCCATGGATGATTGAATTCAAGGATAAAAAATCTGTGGATATGTAGAGCTGACTGTACAAGTTGAGTATCCCTTATCTGGAATTCCAAAATCCAAAATACTACAAAATCTAAAATTGTCCACGAGTGGCTGATATAGTGACACATTTTGGTTTCTGATGGTTCAGTGTACACAAATTTTGTCTCATGTACAACATATAATTATGTATAAAATTACCTTCAGGCTATGTGTATAAGGTGCATACAAAACATAAATGAATTTCATGTTTAGACTTATGTCCCATCTCCAAGGTATCTCATTATGTATATGCAAATATTCCAAAATCCAAAAAAATCCAAAACACTTCTAGTCCCAAGCATGTTGAATAAAGGAAATTCACGCTGTAACAAACTTTCCCAAAGCCTGAGTGAATACACATCTACATCTAGATCTAGACCTAGATCTAGATCTACATCTAGACCTAGATCTAGATGTAGATCTAGACACACAGACACACACAAACAGGTATTGACAAGGTTGTCAAGTCATGTCTTATAGAACATGTCAGAGACTACTCTTTGATCACGTGGACAGCATGATTGCACAGAACACTGTTTACCTTCCCACCAAAGTGGTACCTATTTATCTACTTGCATTTGCATGCTTTCGAACTGCTAGGTTGGCAGAAGCTGGGACTAGTGACAGGAGCTCACCCCATCATGAAGCACCCGAGCCTTGAACTGCCAACCTGTGGACCTTGTAATCAACAGAGTTGGTGTCTTGACACTTGAGCCACTGCATCCCTTTTATGTCTATGCAACAAATTGGGTATTCCCAGACAATCTCAAAATATAGCTTCAATATATCAAATATATTTCCAGCCAATCTCAAAATATAGCTTCAACTGTTAATCCCCTTCTAGAGGAGAACCAATGAATCAATGGTAACTTGGTTAAGTCAACATTCACTTAAGTGCCAGAAATTTAATGGGTTTACACTTATTGGAACTAAAAGTAGATTTAGGACATTGTGTAGTCAGTGAGAAGTATTCTGCTCCCATTGAAGGGTTCATATTTGTTCCAGAACTCTGAATTAAGTCTTGTAGACAAGACTTTTTGTTGTTGTTGCTGCTGTTTCAAGTCCTTGTGACTTATGGCGAACCTAAGGCAAACCTACCACCAGATTTTCTTAGCATGATTTGTTCAGAGGGGGTATGCCATTGCCTGCCTATAAGGCTCAGAGAGTGTGACTTGCCCCAGCTCAGCCAGTAGGTTTCCATATATGAGCAGAGATTAGAACCCTAGGCTCCTGCAGTCATAGTACAATGCTCAAACCACTACACCACACTGGCTCTTAGACATTTAGGCAAGGTTACGACTTACATGCCCTTACACCAAGGGTAGGAAACCTATGTCCCTGCAAATTAGGGGTGGGAATCATGTGACCTTCCACCATGATTTGCTTTCTAACATTATTAACAAAGCCTCTTGGGGGTCCACACATTTACTATACATTTAGTAACCTCTGTGAAGTTAGCTGAACTCACTTATGGACAGATTAATGCAATACATCCTTCTTGGAGCCTGAGATGGTGATGGGACTGAGAGAAAGCCTTTCCCTGTAGATCTTAAGACTCTGCCTAGTTCAAATACTTTGGACCTAAGATTTAGGTCTTTGGGCTTTGTAGGTCATGACCAGCATTCCTAATTGTGCATGGAAATGAACCAGTAGCCAGTGAAGCTGTTTTAACAAGCGAGTTATATGCTTCCTATAACTGGCCTCAGTCAGCATTCTGGCCACAACATTTTGGACCTGCTGAAGTTTCTGGACAGTTTGCAAAGGCAGCCCCACATAGAATGTGTTACTGCAGTCTAAACTGAATGTAATCGACATGTCACTGTAGCCAGATCTGATGTCTCAAGTGATGAGTGCAGCTGGTGCACTAGTTTTACCTGTGCAAATGCACTCCTGGCCACAGGTGAAACCTGCACATTCAGACTCAGATCTGAGTCCAAGAGAACACTCAAGATGCAAGCCTGATATTTCTGGGGGAGTGTAACCTTATCTCGCACTGGCAGAGTCCCTATTCCCTGATCTCCTATTTGACTGACCAGGGCACCTCTGCCTTGTCTGGATTAAGCTTCAGTTTGCTTCCTCTCATCCAATCCATTACTGGCAAAAGATATTGGTTCAGTACCAAGACAGCTTTCTTGGAATCAGATGGAAAGGAAAGACAGCATTGGGTGTCATCAGCATACTGGTGACACTGCACCCCATAAGTAAAGATGACCTCTCTCGGTGGTTTTGTGTAGATGTTAAATAGCACAAAATGCAAAACTGAGCCCTGAGGGACCCACAATCCAAAGACCAGGTGTCAAACAAGAATTCCCAAGCACCACCATCTGAATTCACCCCTCCAGGAGGGACCAGAACCACTGTGAAAGTTTGCCCAAGTCCAATCCCAGAGAGGCAGCCCAGAAGGATACCATGATTGAACAAAAGCCACTGAGAGGTACTGCAAAACAAACAGGGTCACATTCCCCGTCCAGTTTCCTTCATAATTAGGCCTGAAAAAAGATTCAGTGACAAGGTACATCAGGGGTAGGCAACCTTTCCCCTTTAAGAGCCGAGGGACTTCAGCTTCCAGAAGCCTCAGCCATGTTGGCCAATAGTCCCATGTTGGCCAATAGCTCCTGGGATTCTGGGAGCTGAAGTCCCTCAGCTATTAAAGGGGAAAGGTTGCCTATCCTGACAAACATTAACTGCAAGCAGGTTCAATTCCTGACACCTCCAGGGATGGAAAAACTATTTGAAACCCCAAAAAGCTTCTCCTAATCAGTATTGACAGTAGGAATAATGTCAGTGTTGACCAATGGTCTGCTTCTGACTAAGGCAGTGATAGTTTGAGGCATCTGCACAGATAATGTGTGGAACAGGAGATTAACAGTATTAAACTCAGCTTTTACATATGTACAGCAGGCATGAGGTCTAAAGGTGGAGCAAGTTCCTCTTTTACTTCCTATGTAATGCATGAAGGGGAAACTCACATATGTCTCCCTGAACCTCAAACATGTTTCACTGAATGTATGATACATTTCAATGTAGTTCCTCTTTGCTCTTTCCACTTTTATTTCATGTTTCGAGCTGCCCAACTTACAACTGTCATGTGATTTAATCCCATTTTATAACAGTAGTCCTTTGAATATTCACCTGCCCTTCACAGCTGCCAGTCAAATATTAATTTCTGAGTGATATATCACAGAAGTCTAGCAGCCTAATGGCTAGCAGAGCAATTCCTGAGGA